GTAAGTGACGAAGATTGAAGCTGGAGTTGAACCACATCTTCTCAATCGCAAACGTCCGATTCGGGTCGTCAGATTTTCGTACGAATCGATGTTCATGGCCAAGTGCGTGTTGACGAGGACGCCCACACCGCCAACGCCTCTGCTGTCGCATGTTCCGAGGAACAGTTCTTCTCCAGTCTCGTATACGGCGTGTAGCGGGCGATGCCTCCTCGGTCAGTCCGATGACGTCGTACTTGATCTTCCTGGCTTGCAACATCAGATCTTCGATGTGAGCTTCCGATGCAAGCGTCCGTGCGTTGAAAGTACAGATCGTCATCCTAGTCCTGGGCGACTTGAATCTCCGTTGGCCCTGTGATTCTTGCAGCCTCGCCCGAGCGGTCCCAGCCGACGTCGCCCGCCAGTGGCCCCTCAGGCGGGAATGAGCATAATTATTACTGTTTTTTCGGCGAGAAGAAATTTAACCACGCGTAGCTCGCCAGGCTCTGACGTGGCACCCTCCGCATTGGTACGGTGTTGGAACAGTCCAAACCGTTCACCCCACGCCACGTTGAGGCTGCGGATAGGATTTATCCTTTATAGCTACAGGAATCGAAATCCGTTGAGGCGTCCCGATCTGACCACCATTATGCACAGATGGATCAGAACAGGCTGTGAAATGCGCAGAAATATTCAACCGACTGCTCCAAATCCCTCAAATCTACTAGACCGCTGAGTCTGCATTCCCTGAAGATGACCTATAAGCCCAGGCAGGTGCAGTAAAAACGTCAAAGGTTTAGCCAGTATGAAAATATTTCTATTATTAAGGTCAGAAGTGACGAACTAAACCACGGTCTAGGGGGAGGCGCAGCGCAGTGATCGACTGTCCCCCGCCCATTTCTTCGCCCACAAGATTAAAGTGGGCAATACCTTCGATCAAAGGGTTCGGCTTGTGTGACAGAAGTGTCAGAGCATGGTTGTCCGTTTGAATACGAAAAAAGGGAACAACACAAAAACTCCAAAAACTAGAAACGAAGCACCTTGCAACGATTTACGAAGATAATTAAACCTTTGCTTCGTTTGAACAAAAGATCCCGTCGATATTTCCCAGCTGTTCACGTGAGCACCTTCAAAAGCAAAGGATAAATTTGGACGATAATGTTAAAGTGAAGGAGAACGAAGAACTGCTGCAGAAGACTCAGCCCAACACGGATGACTCGCCTCTTGTTTTGTTCGTTCTCCAGCACATATCGCTTGCAACTGACGCTCCAGATCTGCTCTCATTTGTGGTTTTACTCATGGCATAACCCTAAAATACGAGCCAGATATCGTGGTCTAGGTTTCGGTTCTAGCTAGTCACCATTAACAGTGTATCTGTGATTTCTCATAGGAGCGTTCGCCCCCTTTGATGCGGATGGGAGCGGGGCGTTTCTATGCACAGAATTTGTCTTACAAGGGAATGGTTTGAAATTCCCATGGAACTTTGAATGGAGACCTAGGTACATCGATAGAGCCTCGAATGCTGATTACGAATATGCAGATTAAAAGTGCTACGGGGACCTCCCAGACGAGATCTGGGTGGTCAAATTTTGAGTTCTGGCTCGTAAGCGCTGCTGATCGAGTGCTGCTCGCGCACTGCCAACGGTGGCCTCGTGAATGGTTCTCGCTTCAAGTCAAATGGAATTACGGGTTTGCATCCGGTTGGCGCCGAAAACTTGCTTCGCTCCGAAGGGCTTCAACTCTAATTTCGAAATTCTTCCAATTTACGGCCCAGCAGGGCAAGTAGATCAAGTACATCAAGTATATGACGTACTCGATCTAGTATGGATTTGGTCATATCTGCCCTCTCTGAACATATTACCCATCCGACAATTCAAAGTTTTAGCGAGAAATTCGTTCATGGGAGATTTCGACCCCTGAACACGAATATCACATCCTTCGACGAAAAAACGCTCGTCTGGCCAAACTGCGATTCTGGGCAAAACTTTGAATTGTCGGATGGGTAACATGTTCAGAGAGGGCAGATATTACCAAATCCATACTAGATCGAGTACGTCGTATACTTGATGTACTTGATCTACTTGCCCTGCTGGGCCGTAAATTCGGAAGAATTTCGAAAATTAGAGTTGAAGCTCTTATACGGAGCGAAGCAAAAATTTTCGCGCCAACCGGATGCAAACCCGCATGCGTTTGACTTGAAAGCGAGACCATTACCACGAGGCCACGGTGGCACTGCCGAGGCATCGATCAGCAGCGCTTACGAGCCAGAACTCAAACTTTGACCACCCAGATCTCGTCTGGGAGGTCCCCGTAGCACTTTTAATCTGCATATTCGTAATCAGCATTCGAGGCTCTATCGATGTACCTAGGTCTCCATTCAAAGTTCCATGGGAAGTTCAAACCATTCCCTTGTTAGTGCGATCAGTGCGGCCTGTGCCTAATCCTATACTGATCCGACAGCAAAAATACTGCGATGTGGTGAACAGCGGTTGTTTTTCTTAGAACAATGGTGTCGAGGGTACAGAAGTTGTTTGGCGCAGAGCTTATCCTACACAGGACTATCAGTCGTATATAAGAGCAGGGGACGCTATGGGAAGAAGTATGGGCAACGAAGCGATAAATAAATTACGCCAAACGCATTTCGATCCCAATCACAGTTGAGGACTGACCTGACAGCGCATACGGTTCATGGCCTACTGTTGCACCTATGGAGACTATCCAGCAGTTAGATAATGTTTGAGCATCCCAAATGCGCCCACTGACGAGACGGACCTCATAGGGTAGGGAGGTCCAGGCAAATTTCAGGCTAATCATACGTACTAGGGCAGAGCACTCGTCTCACCAAACACATAATAATAAAATATGAGTGTAGCCAATGGGACGAAACAGGGACTGTTCTCTGTCTCCGCCTTCCCGGTCATCGCGGAATGTACCTCTGATCTGGGCGAAACTCAACTGACAACAGTTTCAGTCCATTCTCAGACTGAATTCGTCGCTATCAAGAACAGCTCAGAATAAGAGGTCTCAATCACTGTTCCACGTGTCTCACCCCTCCAGATTACCTCCGCCACCTATGATAAAGTCCCCCGAGAGGAACAGTCCCTTTATTTAGTATGCTGATGATAGCTCAATTTGCATATTTTTCAAACAAACCCGTAGCGTCATAACCATCGACAAGAGCGAGACCGAGAAATCCAGGAAGGAAACGTCCATCTTCACGAACACCCACATACTGTCTTGTCTAAAAAGTAAAAGTGTAAAGAGTCTCAGATCAGATGCCCAAACTGTTTTTATACAAGGAGAAATAGCGTCATACTACACCTTAATCTTCTCTATATGTTCAGCATGCGTCGCGTCTGTACCGATACCGTACTTGTCCATGAGAGCAATCAAATCGGCTGCAAAGAAATAGCCTGTATCGAACGGTAAAATCATAATGCTACTGAAGTCCGGGGGAGAGCACGGCGGCAAAGTTAAACTCCCCTCGCAAGACACTCTCTATGGCTGACTCTGTTGAAGGAAGTGATCATTGTCTGGGAAGGAGGACGCAGACGAACAGGCTCATTACTGGCGTTGCGTGGTCCCTCCTCCTGACTCCAGTAGCTCTTAGCCTTCAGATGGGGAAGTAATGACGACCTTCGTTGAGTAATTCAGGTGGTTGCGTTTGTCCATCTGCTATACGAAGACGATAATCAATGAGTGTTTCTCCTTCCAGGTATGTTGGAATCACTTTATTACTCCATTTGTCATAGATATACACTCGTAAGTAGCCTGAAAAAATAATACTGAGGAACTGGAATTGTAGGTGGAGATAAAAGATTTTTGCCCAAAGCTAAGACCGCACTCATAGTCCGCGACATCGGCGTAATGCCAGAAAGGGAGAATGTGCGCCGTATGAACATATGAGAATTAACAGATCCTCCCATTTTCGAACTCCAGTGCTGCAAATTATGAACGCGCCCTAAGTAAAAGGGGCTCCGCATCCGAAAATTAATTTGTGAAAAGAAAACATTTTTTTTGTATTTTGCACGGCCAGTTCTTCAAACGTTCTGCCCCTAAGTCGAGTTGAGCCAAAGTTTGCGAAAAATTACCTAGGTCCTGAACACAGAGGCCAGTGGCGTGAAACGTCTCTCCTCCAATTCTCATCTTCAAATAACAAATGTAATTTCAGAAAAAAAATGCAAACGACAATAAGTAAGCATTACCGTACCCGAACTCGTGTCTCTCGACCCTTAGCATCCCATGAGACACACGCCAAGAAGTGACGTACAATTAACTCGTACACTCGCCAATCGTTTCCTTGTAGTGTGCCGCTAGAGAAGACATACAATTGAAATAAATCCTTGATTATTTGCTGATGAAAAGTAAAACATACTCTGGAACATGTTTCAGAGGATGAATGGGTGGATGAGCTTCGTCGGATTTTGTACCATTTCTGGGGTTTGGACCATGTTCGAGCACCTACGAAGAATGTATTTACAAAGTTCAATGCATATGAAGGCAAAAATCCATGTCTGATGGTGAGGGCGGAGACAAGCAACCACTACGACCTCCTTACTGCCCTTAGGCACAGAGGGAGGAAGTCCGTATAGTTTAGTTCCTCTCCGACTGCATCATTGAAAAGAGAGCCCAGTGAGGAAAGCACAGAGGCTGGCCGTGTCAGCCCAGACGACCTTCGTGGACTATGCCGGGAAGACAAACACAAACCTCAGCTGCAAAATCACCCCATTTGGGAGAAGTCGTCAGTTGTCCTACCAAAGATGACAGATTCATATTCGAAGGGAATTTGTTGGTTTCTGTCCTGAAAAATATACTATTGCTAGGTCCTCTTTGTCAGCAATCATTTACATTCGGATCCGCATTGCCAACGCAAGAGTTCAAAGCATTTCAACTGATACAAAAACAGGGCAAAAAGGACCCAGCGACACAGGAATCGGTTAGACTTAGACTGTATAAGCTTGTAGCGAAGTCTAGCCTAGCCGCTACTCAAGATTTTATGAAGGCAAGAAACACAGAAATTCTTGTAGACTTGGTAAAAAAGATGGAAAGGGAAGGACGAGGGGTAGACGAAGCAATGCGACTAACAAAGGAACTCCAACAGGTCGATCCGGCCATTTGCAATGGGATGATATTATGGACGTGTCTTGAGCCGCTGAATCCAAATCTGCCCTCGGAATTTGCGGAACGATTCTCTGAAGGGAGTTACGGACCATTTAATCTCTGCTCTGTTCGCACAAGTTGAGAACGATAACTGCATGCGGCAAGCGGCCGATGGCGTAGTGGATAGGCGCACTGCTTCAGAGACACAAGGTCGCATGTTGGAATCCTTGACTCTCGAAAATTTTTGCTTTATTCAAAACACTTCATATGAGTCCCTAAAACGCTTCTGTTTGGCCAATTTGCCTAGTTCTCTGAATTCCCTCAACCTCTTCCCTCAGCTCCGGGCACAACGTTACGAGAGAACAAGAAAGCAACAACTGTTCTTCGTGCGGGATGTCAAGTGTTGGTAGATAATCATGGGTGCTGACCACATCGAGTAATTTCGCAGAACACGTGGACAGGATTTCGTTCAAAAAATCATCACCGCTTTCTCTCTGAACTGGTGGAGAACTGTAACTGTACCGTGTGTGGGGAGTACTTCTGGCACTATTCAACTATTACTACCCCAAGGAGTCAAAATTTTTTTCGCTGAAACTTTGCCCACAGGGGTAGTTCGGTGTCCTGATCACGAATATAGCACTCTTTACGGCGTTGGCGCCAATTTGGCGCTGCCGCATTTCTCACCAAATTCGACGTAAAGTTGCATAGTAGGGTTATTTGATGTCCTGATCACGAATACCGCATTAGTTCTCAGCGATGGCGCCATTTGACGCCAATATGGCGCCGGCGCCTGTAGCGCGGGCTCTAGGTGGTTTCAGACCGAGCGGATGTGATATTCGTGTTCAGGAGGTCGAATTACCCCTAGAACTCAACTTTCAGCCAAATCTGCCCCGTAGAAAAAAGTCGATCAAGATCCGGCCTGTTTTCGGAAAATTGGGGTAGTAATAGTTGAATAGTGTCAAAGGCACTTCCCGCGACTACACAACATATAGGTAA